CTCTGGCTCGGGTCCCGCCCCCCCCCCAGCTCGGCGCCTCTCACGCCGGGGCGACACATGGGCCGGCTGGGAGGGCCGGCCCGCACGCCCCAGCCCCGGGGTCGCTCTGAAGCCTGAACAACGCCGGGGGGGAGGGGAGACACGGGAGCCTCGCCCGGGGCCCATGCGTGTACGCTGGCGCCGGGCGCGGGAGGCCGGGCCGTGTTCCCCCCCCCCCCACCCCCCCGCCAAGCGCCCTCCTCGCGCGGGCCGCATGCGTGCCTCCCGTGCGGGGGCGATGGCCTTTTGTGAGGGCGCAGGGCCGCCACGGCCGGCCGGCGGCGCCCCCTGGGCGGAAGGGGCCGCAAGAGCGCTGACGCTGGCACGGGCGCCGGCGGGCGGGCTCACCGGTTCCGAGGGTCGGGGGGGTGAGTAAGAGGAAGGAGGCGCACCTGGCCGGGGCGCAGGCCAGTCCGGGCTGTGCTGCCAACTGGCGTGGGATTTCCCACGGTCCCAAAGGGCGTGCTGCGGTCCCCCCGCGCGCGCGCGCCGGGTGTCAGCCGTCCCTCCGTGCGTCCGTGCCTTCCCTTTTTCGTTGCCGGCCCCCCTGCCATCCGCTGTCGGTCTCTCTGTCCCTCCCTCGCTGGACCCCCGCCGCCACCGGCTCTGGGGAGGGCCCGGCACGGCCGGTGGTCGGCGTGTGATGACATCCTGATGATTGTTTGTCCGGCGGGGTTTTTCCGCCGAGATTGCCTCCAGGCCACTTCGGCGAAAGGCCCCGGGCGGCCGGGGCGCGGCTGTGTGTGTGTGTGTGTGTGCGCGGAGGTCTCGATGCATGCGGATGTGGGTGGGGGCGTGCGGGGCCGGTCGCTCGGGCCCGGGGTCCTGCGGGGGTGGCCAGGCCGGGCGGCCCGGGCGCGCCGGTCCCCGCGGGGGCTCCTGGCGTCTGGAGCCGGCCACCCTGCGCAGGAGGGCACGCCGGGCGGCCGGTGAGGGGGGGGGGGGGGCGTACGCAGCCCACCCCCGGGCGGAGGGGGGGAATTTTTTTTAAATTTCCTCCCGGCGCTGGGGCCTGCGCAGGGTGCCGGCACCCGGGAGAGGGGGGGGGGGGGTATCTCCGGGCCGATGGGCGCCCCCGCACGGCGGGCATGTGCCGGGTCAGCCGACGCAGGGCCGCACGGCGCCTCCCGCGCGCGCGCGCATGCGGCACGCCCAGGGCGGCAGAGGCTGCTACACAGCCTGGGGGGGGGGGGCGCGATCCGCCCGCTGGCGCCGCTGATGGCAATCTGCCAGCTGCTTCGTGAGGGGGGCGCGCGCGGTGCGCTGTTGCCCTGGTCGGGCCCCCCGCCCGCACCTGCGTCTGTGGAGGGCGCCCGCACCACTCTGGGCCGGCCATCGTTTGTCGGTTGCCGGGCCCGGCAGCCGGCGGGGAAGCCCCTCCGCCCGGGTCGGCCGATCGCATTGTCGCGCAACCGGCCGGGCCCGGCCAGCCCCAGCCCCACCCCCAGCCCCCAGCCCCCAGCCCCAGCCCCAACCACAGCCGCCGCCCAGTGGCCCCCATTCAAATACCCGGGACGCGGGCACTCTGCGGAGCCAGCAGCCCCCATTAGACCTACCGAATC